CCTGGCAGTATCAGGAGTCTAAGGAGGCGGAGGAGGCCATAACTTATGCTGCCCATATACGATATGAGCTCCTTTGTTTTCTGTTTTGTATCTCAATTTTCAATGTGGCCGTAATGAATGGCTGCAAGATCTCGTTCTGCCTCCACATGTGGGAGTAACTTGCAACCGGCAACCATTGGGACATTGGGACTGCGACTGCTCATGAATTATGCAAACACTGGCAAATCGCAGGCACAGGAAAACACACTGATCTCTGACAGTTTCCCTGGCTGTTCCGCACAGGCAAAACAAACAAATTGTTTGTTATTATCGCTGGGTGGCGTAGATCGCGTCAAGAATCCGGACTCCGATACGGCCTGTTCCTCCGGATCGCAGATTAAGACGCCGCAAGCCGCGGCAAATTGTCAAACGGGCCGCCAGCTGCCAACAATTTACTTAGGTCCTTCTTCTTTTCTAGATCCCCCGCCATCCTGCCCATTTCCAGCTTCTTCGTTTTGTATTTATTTTGCATGCCTTATTTTTAGGCCTGCACACAATGTGTGAAATCGCCGACCCTTCTGGGCTGAGTTGTTTGAAGTCTGAGATCTATGATTTCCATGATAAATGGAATGCTTAAAGTTTCCAAAGTTTGCAGTAAAGTATGTATGTGTGAGAGATTCCATTCAATATTCGTGGTCTGATCAATTTGGTAAACGAAAGACAAAAGTTTTTAAGACATTGGTCTATTGGCCTTATACAAAAGTTATAGAAACCAATTTTATTATTTCGAAATAATATAAAATCTGTTGAATTCAGATAACTAAAATGAAACCTAGCACATCCCAGTGGCAGGGTATAAATACGATGAAGTTGTTTCGTGGTTTATGGTTCTTTGGAAACAAACGAACATAAGTATTATGGGATAATTAACCCACTAATGTAGTGTTGGCGCGGAATCGGAGGAGTGGCACCGAGAAGTGTTTTAGAAGCGGGAAGGGTCAAAGACCCTTGCCAGTCGAAAATGTATTAGATCGCCAGAAGCCAAGTAAATATATTTTTGGGTAGGTTGTACACCCCAGCAGCACTTAATTACTGCTCAGTTAGCTTGCCTTTCTCCATCGCACACAGCATGTCCGCAAACTCTGCCCCCTCATCAGCTGTCACTGACCTGGCCAACCCCGAAAGCGGAGATGGACGACGAAGTGCATCGCGGAGTTGTAAAATTGGAGTTTCATTAAGATGCACATCTTAATTGCGCCCGCAGCTGATGCTGATCCCAACCGGCGCTGCGGCCGAAGAAGACGATCCTGTTTTTCACTTTCCACCAAAATGGGCACGTCCACTTGCCGATCGATGGATGCCTCTATTGTTTTACGAGGAGTGGCTGTATCCCCTGATAATTGATGAATTTATGACCTAACATGGAGTGCCAGTGCCAGTGCCACAAGTTGCCCAATCACTTTTACCGATCGCCCTTCTTATCGCGTGCCTCCAGCTGCTGGTCCCCGTTCTTCTAATTGGATGTCGCCGGGGCTAATCTGGCCCCCTAGCTAATGGGTAGGTTAAGCCGGCAAAGGGAATTTCCGGGAATCGCTTTCAATGCATTTTTTTCGGCCCGCTCCGACGTGCTCCATTTTAGTCCAATCTCTTTTGTTTCCGCTGCCGACACTTGATTTCAGATTTCTCCACCGATTTCTGATTCCGCTGCTTCTACTGGTTTCGATTCGGATTCGGATTTGGATCCATTCGCAGTTTCGATGGAACCCGCAGCTTCTGCATTGTTTTCCAAAAGTGGCACGTTCTGGCCATTTATGGCGCACGCATGGCCAGCAGCGAACTCGAGCTGATTGCCCAGCGGGTCAGCATTGTAGCCAGTTGTGGTTGGAATGGAGATGTTAAGCAAGAAATGTTAATAGTGCACTATGGCGACCTACCCCAAGTTGATCTCTGGCGTGGGCATGATCCATAACAGAGACGGCCATGGTATCATACATAGCTGAGCCAATGGTTTTGGTTCTTGTATAGTGTGACATCTCCATTTATTTACCTATTCTTTATTAAATAACTAAAAGCTGGTAGTTATATTTTTTCTTTGCATCATATTTTAAAAGAGCCAGTGAAAATATGCAAACAAATTTAGTAATTTACCATAAGAACTTAAAAAGTGCAATATAGTGGCTTTAACGACATTTGTTCAATAAACTTTGTTGCGTAAGTATAGTTGCTAAGCTTAGTTACTCACTTTTGATAATACCTTTTCAAAGCCTTCTGATATCGATTTGTCCGTTGGTCCACAATTAATAAATACTATTTGGCACATCTGGCCAAATCAATAGTTCCATTATCCCGGATAGAGTGACACATCAATTGTTTTCTCGTTGCACATCCTCGAAACACGCTTTCGTACAGCTGTTAACCCAAGGGAGAGTTCTAATTCCTTGGATGAGGGGGTGGCTCTATACAAATGTGCAATAAAATACTATGGCTTTTGTTGTTGGTCCCCTGATGGTCATACAAACAGCTCAATTAGTAGTCAACAAATATTTGCAGAGACTTCTTCCTCATCCTTAATTGTTGATTGGGCGGTATGTGGAAACAGAACTGAGGCAGGGGAATGTTGAGTCAGGTGCCATAATTCCCAAAAAACCAATTTCATTTTCTCGCCCATGGTAACCGCAAAAAAATAGCTGAAGGGAAAAACACAACAATTCAGATAAAACAATTGACGCCTACATTTTACTCAAGAGCGATAGTAGAAAATCCATAAATACGCGTGCGTATATAAACATGTATGTGAATTTAGTCTGATTTACATACATTATTTATTCAGCTTCTAAATTGCAAATGGAAACATGTTACGAGGTGTTATGAATGAATGGCTGGGTAGGTAAGAGCTAAGGCAGCAATATGACACCAACATCTCTTATTTGCATATTTACGAGGCTCCCCCAAATTATTACAAAGAATGAGAAAGGGTGGGTGAATGATATACAGGAAAGAGCATTAATATGGACTTACTAATAGAACAAGAAACTTAGAGTTGGGTTTACGTTTTATAAAAAAGCCAAAAATCAATGATCAAGCTAAAAGCTTTTTTTGGTTTTAATAAAAATGATATAAAATTATTTCAGTTTGCTAGAGAATTTAATCCCCAAGATTTTTTATTTATTTTAATACACAAAATCGCTATACTGCTATCCAAGGATACACATGAACCCTTCAAAGACCTCTGCCTCTAACGAGCCAATTAGTGGGCTTACATCTGGATGTGTTCCCTCTGGTCATTTCGCTGACATTCTGTGTTTGCTGCATATTTTTCTAACCCTAAGCAGACAAAATATCCAAAAATTGCCGACTAATTCTCTGGAATGCGGGTGGATTCCAAACTCATCTCATTTCACATCGTACTGTTTTTGTATTCAAAAACCGGTTGCTTGAAAATGAATGCCAAGCGTGACAGCAACAAAGATTCACGGAGGATGGGACATCGTTCTCCAAAGCAAACACAGGATAATGATAATGAGTGTAGCGCAGGATAATGCACATGCAAGAGGGATGGCCCGAGGGGTAGAAGGGATTCGAGTCGACCCAAACCAATTTCCATGTAAATTTGATTGACCAACTTTCTGTGACATGAAATTGGAGAAGCCCACGCTTTGGAGTGGAAAAATAGAGTGTTGTTCGAAAATTTATATGGCTTTACCATTTTAGATAAGAACTCAAATCGAAGGAAAGTCGCTATTATGTCGCCACTCCCCTCAGAAGTGTTGGAAGTCAAAACAAATCAAGCAAATTAAATTAAATCAATCCCCCCGACAACGAAAGTGACAATAAAACTCAACGAGTGTCGGAGTTTTTTGTATTTTATTTTTCCTGGGGTTCGGAGGTCCGGTTCTCCAATTTTCGTGTTGCCTTGGCCTGTCTCGACTCCGTCTTCGCTCTTGACGTGACTGAAGTGGGCGTGGCACTTGGCATGCAAATCATGTCAAATGTCACACTCAGCTCAGTTCTGCTCAGAACTTCAGCTGCAGAGACATCGGGTGCTCCTCGCCCTGGTTCTCTGTTCGAATCTGAATCTGGAGTGGGTAACAACTTCCCTTTTGTGCGGAACGGGTTGCCTGACCTTCAACATTGACTTGTTGAGGAGGTGTTTGTATGGTTCCTGCCCTTTTTCGGGCCCAGGACTTCTCATGTCTTTCGAGGTGTACACAAATGTGTTTGGACAGCTGCCGCATCGTGGTTCGAACTTTGAAGGCGGCTACTGTATTGAAATGTCTCTTCGGGAGGGTAATTTGAGCTTGGCCGGTCCACCATTCTCCTTCTTCTGGCTAATTGAGCTTTCGGGGGTAAACATTCCGCTTAATGGAGAACGTCTGCACTTGATATGCTCCTCGAATATAATCGATGTGGGTTGGATTGGTTGTCTCGCATAACGAAATGTTTGTCATAGCCAAATAGAAAAGAGAAGAAGATATGACGAGGGCAGTCAACTTGAGCACACGGGGAATATAATACGGAATGCATCAGATATATGGTTATTGGACCTGTGGGGGATGAGTTGTATGTGATATCTTTTTGAGAATAAGCTTAACCCTACATTAGTAATGTGCTGCATTTTTTCGTAAATATTAATACCTAATGAGACCAATGTAGTACCTCAAGTGTCAATATTAGAATTCCGATGTATTAAAAAGCTGCCAACAAATAGAACACTTTAAGAACTGCAGAATTTACTATTACAGACTGAGACCTTGAGGTTATAATGTCATTGAGTTAAATTGGATACAATTGGTAAATGGTGTTAATTTTTGGAACAAAAAAATACTTATACTCTTTAAAAATGGAAAATTATATTATAAATTCCCACAAATCTTAAAGCCAAACATCTCGACTTCGATTTGCTGCCGACCTCAACATCTACGATATTGGTAGCTATGTTAGCTAACAGAGCGCTTAACATTTACGACATTGAAAATGTATCTGCAAAGAGCAGCCACAACTTCTGAGTTCGTCGTCGATTCAGTCCACAGAGTTGCTCGCTGCGGTGCGGACCTCGTTCGGGAGTTCGAGATACAAGAGATACGAGAATCGATTCGTGCCAACCAACTAAAAAAGCCGACCGAAAGATACGGGGAACAGCGATTTTACTACGTTTGTGGTTTGGCAGCGTCTTTTGTTTTTCGGCATCGGTTTTTTCGGCTGCCCGCGGCTAAACTTGAAATTAAAGCTGATTCGGCGAAGCCAGATACAAGATACATATGCAGATGCGAGCTTAATGCTGATCTGCAGATAGACAAACAGTGAAGTGAGATAAAAGTGGCGAGATACTCCGCGAACCCACGTCGAGATACTTTATTTATATTGTCCTGGATTAAATATATCTAAAAACATCTCGATTGTGGCCGTCAACATGTCGAGCTAAGCTGCGACTGCTCCAGCTCAAGTCAACCCAGATCGCGGATCACAGATCACATAACCGAAGATGCTGGACAAGATGACAAGCTCCTCCGTGTCGGTGTCCACCTCCTGCTGCAGTTCGAATGCCACCAATGCGGACCTAGACTACGATGTGCCTGTCTCGCGGCGCATCCTCATTAAATCGGTTAGTAGACCCTCGCGATAAGCCCAATCATAAACTGCCGCACTTTATGCGTCGCAGATTGAGCCATCCTGGAGCTGGCGAGGAAGCTATCTGCACGGCTCATCTGCTGTTGTGACAGTTGGGCTGCAAAAGGAAACTGTAACGGATTTCTCAACTTGTATCTTTGGCAGCTGTCGGGGGAAAAGTTTCCGCGATTTTCGCCATTCGCGTTCGTTATCACCTCTCTAGCAACACCGTTTGATGTGCCAGTTTACGGCGCAGGTGAGATATCGCAATGTCGTGATAACTCAGTCGATGATGCCTGCCTGTGCTTAAAGCCTCTAAAGTGTTCGGTCGAAAACAACATGAGCTCACCGTGGTAAACAATCTACGAGTGATTCCCTCCAGATATTTTGGTTCTTAGTTAAAGGAGCCTTTGATTAGATTGGAATCAAGTGAGATAAGATTGAGGCTCTGGAACTCAACTGAAAATGTAATCTTTAACAAACGGATTTATTCAGGTTGCACTTAACAGTATCAACTTATGTTGATTGATAGTTTCCAATATGTTCTAAAAAAAGACAAAAGGCTTATTTTTGTAAAAACGACGCTCCTTTGTGACAGTAGGAGTTGTTATGAATGTTTGTTTGTTTTAGTTAATCTAAACCCAAGATCTGGACGCAAACATTTTGTAACATTTTCCCAGCACTGTACACTCCTCAGATATAAAGTCCAATGGTTCGCTCTGGAATGAACTATCATTACAGATCCATTTGAGTTCATTTAGGCGTACTTAAAACATTCCAATTGATTGAAGTGTGGATGGCAAGTTATTTCAACTGGTTTCTTGCTTTTAGATGAGAGGAATGATTTAAGAGCCGCGACAACTGCGAGCGAATGCTGATCAATAGATTTATGCTGCCATATATTTTCATCAGAGGCCCAAGAGTCACTCAATCAACATCAGCCGCCTTCCCTAGAAATGGAAACCGTTGACGCCACACGCGGACATTAATTCTCATCAATTTCCCAGCTATTCCTGGCCAGACCCACTTGTGGCATTCAAAAATGAAGTGTCGAAGCAGGGATGTGTTCTGTGCTGTCTAGACGGGAACGGTGGGGCGCCCACTTAATCAGCGAGCGAGGAGCGATAGATTCGAGATGTCCCTTAGGGAGTCTGTTCTGCGGTTATCCTCGAAGATAACCCCTAAGCCAGACCTCCCCTGACTTAATCTTAATTAATAACAAGGCCTGCGATAGGGGAAGCTACTTGGGTTTTGGTCTTTTATCTGTTTTTCTTTTCAGTTTGCTTGACGATTTAGGGTTTTCAGGGTTTAATGTGACGCTCAATTAAGACTGATTAGATTTGGTAGTGGAATTGTTTCGCCGATAAACGTCCTCAGCCCTGGACTTGCCCTTATCGAAATACCTCTCCTTCGGTCTCCCATTGCCCGATAAGGATTCACCATCACCCGGCACTTCAGTTTGATTTCCCGCACTACGTGCGTGGTCTTGGCCTACGAGCATTCAGGGCCTTGTGGGGGCTCCCCTTGGCTTAATTGTTTATGGAGCTTCTCACTTGGCCCTTCAATCAGTGCTCTGTTCGCAACTATTAATAACTGATTTCATTTGCAAGGCACTCGTACCTTGGGGGTAATCCTGTCCCCCAACAATTTTTCCCTTAATTGCCGGCCTTCAGTCAAGCGCACATCCTCAGGATAGGAAGGAGTTTGGAAGGGGAACCACTATTAATTTCCATCAGTCAGCGGCATGCTAATAAACCCTTTACCCCTTCGGTTTTCCTATAATAGAGAGGATAACGTGACACGCTTGGTATGGACTTGGAGTTATGGATCAAAGTAAGCTCCATGAAATTACGTTTAAAGGGACTCTCGACCACGTCTTTGCCAATCACTATTAGTTCCAGCGTCTAGTCACTAGCCCATCTCCATGGCGAAGTCTTTCTCAGACATCTGAAGCAAGGCCAAAGAACGCAGGAAACCCATCTTCGGATGTTTTCCGCTGTTTGCATTTTGAAATCTAAGCTGAGAACCGAACCGGCTCGGGGGACCATATAGATGCCTTCTCCAGACTCCGAGAGCCAGTCTAGCCGGGCGTCAATTACTTTTCGCATTTGTGCGCATTTGGAGCACATTTATTTTAATCTCACCTGTGTCTCTTTCGCTGCGTGTCTCTGATGGATGCAGCTGGTCCACATGCCCCGCGGCAACCCTTCAATTACGTGAAACTTTGTGTCAGCGACTGTTAGGCCCCAGAACGAGTATCCTCCAACTCCTGGACGGCTGGACGAGATCGGGCCATTACAGTGCCCGTGATCATGTCCGAGACACGACTCTTGTAATTAGCCGTTGTTGTTTATTTAATTTCAAGCTTAATAACGACCACAGCACCGGAATATTGAGTGCAATGGTGTGCAGTGTGGAAAGGGGAAAGGGTTGGGTGTTCTGCGAGTGCATTTGCATTTGCATCTACATCTCTCCGCCAGACACACTCCGTCCAACAGCCGTGTAAGGCTCGTAAGCAAGCTAATTTATTTCAACGCTCAAGTTGTGCAAACATTTTCGAATTCAAATTTGTCCAACAGGTTGCAATGGCTGCAGACTGCAGTTGTTGCTGTCTGGTATTGGCAGTTGTGAGTTGATGAATGTGGCAAGGTTAAGGCCCAGGAGGGGCAAGTGGTGACAGAGCTGACTGATTGGAAATGGCTTAAGGAATGTTCATTAGGCCGAGGGAAGGCAGGTCGAGAGAAGAGACAAGTATCTCGCATAATTTCTTGAACCCCAATACACTGCACTTTTCCGGCATATCATATCGCTTTTTAAACACAGCCAGCGAAGAAGAAAAACTTTCGCTTTTGTGTACTATAGTTGTTTTATCTTTTCGCGTTCGACTTCGACACTCGAGTTGCGTTCAGTTCAGTTCACGCAGGCATTTACTCATTCATTATCTAACAGTCATGTGCTACCAAGCGAGCATTGGCCATCATTTTAGCCAAGCAAACATGTCGGCCAAATGGATTATAGGCCAACAGCTTTATGGAGTCGAAAGTGTCGATAATGAGCAAGCACTCTTCGAATAGTTGGCAGGTGGAACAGAACAGAGCAGAAACGTGCCGGTTGCAAGGAAAAGATTGGAAAAGACCGGTGATAGGGGGACAGGTAAGCCGTCACTCCCATGTAAACCATGTAAACAAGCGGTGAATACAGGAGCTGCGACATGCAGAAGGAACCCCTGGCCTTTGTTTACTCACAAGACTCACAGAAGACCACTGCAAGCTGGCTGTGTTTCTGTCTGTTACGTGCGCAAGTTCGGATGACATTTATGAATTACAAATCTTACATGTCACGTTCTGGACCCTCGAAAGGGGAAGGCTTTACTAATTGCCCTCTGGCCGGAGAAGTCCTTCACAAGTCGTAGAACCCGCGCCGGCGACACTAAGCATGTGATGAGTATCTGAGGCGCGTTGTTTACGGTGTTAACAGCGAGTAAGCCATTCCAAATTGGCCTGGCCTTAGCAGCGACCGATAATTTGCACCATCTGCCCTGCCCCCCGCAACACCGGAAATTAAGAGACAGGGGTCCGGGTCTCCTCTCGGGATAAGGACGGCAACTGGTCACAACGGAGCAATAAAAGTTACATGCAACCCGTAAGTGGGCTAGGCCATCAGCAGTGCAATGATTTGAGCACTCCGCCTGAGGTGTCTGACGATCGTCCACATCGCCATCAACGACTCGAGCCACTTAATGGGCCCATTTACACCAAAACGGAGATGGGCTACTGAAGTTTTAGCAGACCAGTTATAATATGAGCAATTTCTGTCGTTCGTTATATTTCCCTTAATCTCAGATAGAAGAGCTATTCGAGATGATTTTCCTCACATCTAATTGGAAAGCGAGTAAATTGAAGTGAGTTTCTCCACCTCATTTGCTTACCAATCTCCAAAGTGTCATCCATCAAACTTCTGGGTCTTGTCATCTCACTTTCAATCTATTGGCTGCGTGGGCCCAACATCCGCAGACGAAGGCTTAAAATAGTCTCAGAACGTAATCCATCATAAGTCGCCTAACGAACGATAAAAAGCCGAAATGCCTCTGATGCGTTTCGTTCCCAAAGCCGACACTCGAAGTTCACGAGGGATTCTCCTCCTCAAACTGGTTAGAGGAAAAGAAGAGTTTAACAAAGGCCGCCAGCCATCGAAGGTAATTCCTCGGGCATGAGTCACGTCCGGGGTATTCCTCCGACCTAATCTCAATGTCAGTCAATGGGGCTTAATGACTTAAACCTCCAAAGCGGGGGAAGTTCGTAAAATAAATCTTGTAAATTGCTCGAGAGGCCGGCCCAAAGTTAATTGAATGAATGAATGAATGAATGGGTTTTTTTTGCCCTTTAAAAAAACTGTTTTACAAATTTCATGGCTTGACAAGTTTTTTGATTTTCTTATTTTCCTTATATTTTATTTTGCGTCTTCTCTTTTAGAGTTGAATTTTTAATTTATAAATTGGATTGCATTGTCGGGGGACTTTTCCTTTTGTTTTTTCTGTTTGCCCCAGAGCCTCGTAATAACTTTGTATTATACAATGTTTTAAGCATGTTAGCTTTTATCAAATGATTGATCATTTTGTTTATTAGCTTTTCAAGATTTTATGACTGAGTTCTGGTCGTCAGTGTTTTTTGTTTCCTTTTATTTTCAGCACATATGCACATCGGAAATAATTCATTATAAAAACATTTTGAGCCATTAAAATAAATGTACAAAGCTACAACAGCCAAACGCTACAGACACGCTTGGAAATTGATTTTTGTTCGTTTGTTCGGCTGATTCACTTGCCACAATTGAATTTTAACCGCTTGGGTTTCTCTCTTTCCTTGGGGAAGTAATTTTGCAACGTTTTTGCGTACTTCACTTGAAATTGCTGCGAAGGTCAAAAATACTTTTGTGTGGATTCCGTTTTATTTGTTCTTTAATATTTAAAGTCAACAATTCGCATTTCGTTTTCAGCTTTTTCCTTTGTTATAATAATTTGTTTTATTTTTTTTGGCATTAATTTTTCGTTCAGAAGTTACTTAAGGTAATTGAAATGGCATATGTTTGCTTTGACGCCTGCTTTGTGAGTCATTTTCCGCGAGTTGGACACGTTGTGGTATCGACTTCGGATGGTCAAAATATACTTTTTAAGCTTGCGAAAACCACAAGCCACACAAGTTTCCAAAACAAAGAGCAGATCTTACTGAGCACGCAAAAACCTTTTATTTGCTGAATTGATTTAGCCCTTGCATTATATCACACTTTTCTATACACCATTAAAGTCTGAGAGCGATTTGCCCGAGTTGGGAAGGCAATGCAAATTGAATGAGAAATACTTGGAATGCGAGTGCAATTGACTTTTGCATTTATTGTCAATGGGCGGGGCCTGCAGTGCCAGTGCCACCGAGGGATCAATTGCCCTGTCATTGACTTGCTCCCGGCTCACTGGGTCCATCCTAGACGAGCAGCTGACCCGGAGTGACATGTGGCGGGGAAGCCGGAGTCGCCTTCGTGCACTTGTCACTGCAACTCACCGTCAATGGCGCACCGCCTTCGACCTAGTCTCCATTCGAAACGTGTTTCCCTGCCCAATTTGGCCGGCTGGCTCGGAGTTTTATTGTCACACCGCATTTTATTCGGATTTTTTCTCTTTACTTTGCTTTATTTTTGTTGTTTCTTTTATTTTTTATTTTTTTTGCACACAACGAGCTGACGAAATGTGTCGAAAAGGCCGCTGCGAGAGAAGTAAACATTTTGTTTATTTTCGCAAACGGAAACCAGTTCAACACGACATATGGCGTTTTATTACAATCTAGCAAAATATTTTATATTTTTCACGGGCTGAAACTGCTGGTTTCTCAGAAACCTTTAACCAGTCATAACCCTAGTAAAAGTCCAAAGTCCGTTCATCAACGTAAGAAGGTGACGCATTAGGGGGCTTAAACAATAGATAACTGGGCAGGTAAAATGCAAATGTTGGGGGTTTGAAAAGCATTGCACAGATAGCGGATTGCGTCAGCGGTTCTTCCTACCGTCTTTTCTACGTTTTTTTGCCTGAACCACTTAGTTGTTAAGGTATATTGATCTCCAAGAGCCGACATAGCTTTCACCTTCAACATTTTCAGGGCTGCCCCTGGTATCCCCTCCGTTTCCCTCTTCAATTTCATCAAATTCTGTTAATTAAATTTGACAAAAGTATTATCTGTCACGCAAGCTAGCGCTTGACTTTAGACTATTGCCACTTTATCAGCATTTGGGGGTCTGGGTTATCAGTTGAACGCCGAAAACGAGTTCGCATTTCTATTGGAAATATTGCCATGCCATCGACATTGATTGGATACGCTTTTCGGCCATATATGTATTGTACAGTACTCCAGAGTCACATGGCTCTTAATGTGGTTAATGGTCTCCTCAATCTGTAGAATAAAAACAAATTGTCATCTTGTCGGTGAGGCGGGCGAAAATTGTTGACTTTTGAGTGCTCATTAAGCTTTTTGTCGGTGGCTTCTTCGCTTTCTGTATCTCTGCGTCCCGGGTTATTTATGAGCCAAAACGAAATGTGCAAAAAGCTGCTGGCAAAGCGAGTCGTTGGGTTTGAGTAATTGAATGGTCTGGGCATGGATCGAAGCTACTCCTGGAATGCATAAATAACCGAACCTAAGTTTGTTTGGCCAAAACTGTTGCTTACTCTCTGAAGAAGGGGATTAAGTCGGAGATATTGCTTATGGCTGTGGTCCGTCATACGCGAACATTAAAAACAATAAGTGGCCCGGCAACTCTTTCACTTCTGCGGTCCGAACCGTAGCCCCTGGGCTTTGATTACTTTTATCAAAATCACTGGAACATGTAAACCTTTTTCGGTGATTTATGACAGAGATTGAGTGCGGACTGCCTAGGAGGTGGGAACTCTTTTTCAGTTCCGTTGCCGGGTTTCGGGAAGGCAAGACGGGCGATCGGAGAAGTATGCCCTAAACAAACCAATTAAAGTCGTCCGCGCAAATAGGCAAACAACTGTAATTTTTGTAACCCACAAGCCACAAACCTACAGGAATTGCTTTTCGTTTGCCGGCAGGCAGGCGGAACTTCAATCTTCCAATTCTCGACTTTAAATATTTGCCCCTTCAATTAGCGCTGTGTGAAAAGCCGAGTGAGCTGGCGAGATGGCAGCGAAGAAAGCAGCGACAGCCCTGGAGTTTTGGATCTATGGATCTGTGGAGCTGTCAGGGGCCCCAGCCCAGCAAACATTGAAGCTGGTTTTTTGTTTGGGCAACACACTCGCGGTCCAGTGTCACTGCGACGGCACTGAACTTCAAGTGCGCTCATTTTCCTTTTGACATTTGAACGCTTCCATCGCGCTTTCGAAATTGAAAAGTAGAATAGCCGCGCAGCCTGGTAAAACGGGTTTCGAAACTACCCAACTACGTGTACCAAAGCTATGCCCGTACATACAGATATATCAGACCTGAGCAGCGGGTTGAAAGTTCAGCAGCGATTGAACGCTCGATATTGTAATCGCTGACTCCCTCGCCCTCTTTCACTCCTTCTACACATAAAACAATTTTAGTTGATTTGGATTGGGTACTCCTAAAAGTATTTCAAAGATATTTCTAATTTGTTTAAGTTATAGCTTCTACAACATCTATGTACAGCTTAACAAGACCTTTGCTTTCCGAAACTGAGATACCTAATAGATTCTTAACAATATACTTATTTTTTCTCTGTGTGTCGAATGGGGGAGTGCTGTGGGTTGAAAAGGTGAAGGGGGTAGGAGCAGTCACGGCGGCTTTGTTTTCTTAGCTTTTTTGCAGAGTTCAAACGTTCGTTTTGGATTTTGTACGGTGCGGTGGCGAAATTAAAAGCACCACGCTTAACCCGCAACAACACAGATACATACAGACCCATACAGGGACAATTACACATTCATTGAGCGAAAAGTTTACCCGAAAGGCTACAGTCGTGTCCAGCGAATTAGATACAAAGGCCGAATAAGAGAATTGCCATCTTGAGAAGATGAGTCAAGAGGTTTTTGAAGGGGTAGCAGCAGTAAACAGTACCTAGTGGATAAAGATCGGGGAGGGTCTTAATTCCTCGCTCCTATCCCGACAACCCCGACTGTTGATGTGTCTGCCTCTAACAGAAAAGCAACCCGAAATCGGATAAAAGAGAACCTACCCAAAGTTGACCTGAAATTCAAGCTAAACTAATGAAGCGAGCGCGGCATGAGCTAAAACAAAAACCAAATCGCATTGTTTCTTTCCGTCTTTCTTTTCTCGAGTTCTCTGCACTTTTTTGGAATTCTTTTTAAAAACGTGGTAGCAGCAAAAGATTTGCAAATTTGTTACCATAAGAAACATGAAAACCAAGTTGAAAACGCAGATCAGCAGACGCAGTTCTTATGAATGATGGAAGCAGAGTCAAAGTTTGGTTTGCGGAAAGGGTCAGTGGTCAGTTTGAAATTCCATTGAAACCGCCTGCCTTGCGGCTTCTTAAAAGTGCAAAAAGCAGACGTGAAATGGAAAACAACATAAAAACCGCTTTATTATGATAACACGCAAAACAAAAAACAAGAGAACTCTGCCCGCATGAATACCCTTTTTATAATTATTTCGTTCTCTGATTTATTTGCAGAAACTTTATGCCAAGGCCATTTACGATAATTATGCAGACACGCCGGACGAGCTGCCCTTCAAGAAGGGCGACATCCTCACAGTCATCGAGCAGGACACGGAGGGTATTCAGGGATGGTGGCTCTGCTCTCTGCGCAACCGACAGGTGAGTTGGGTCCTCGGGTCGGAGATCTTCGCAGGGGAAAGAAAGAACCCAAATCAAGGCATATCCCGGCACTGAAATCTCTCGTTGACTGAAAACAGAATAAACAATCCGGTTATCACATTAGAACATAACGCTCTATCGAAAAAAGTACTAGTGGCTTTAAGATGTTTCACTTTTTTTACCTTTACCTCTACCTTGCTTTTCACCAAACAGCTTGATCATATAATAAACCCTGACCTTAGTCTTGTTAAAGTATCTCAAATAACTTGGCTTTCTTATATAGAGTACAATTTAGATTGCCTTCATTTTGCTCTGTAATGGTACCATCAAACCTAACAGGAAACTGCCTTCCATTTTGTTGGGTCTTTTGATTCTCATTTCTCAGACTGAATTTCTTGTTTCGGTTCTTAATTTATCCCTCTGGTTGCGGCTGGGCTCTGTCTGCATTCGTAATTAAGCGATCGAAACATTTGCATAAGTTTCCCCGTTTTATTGCGCCGAGTGGGCTAGAAAATCCTCATTTAAATTTTAATTTAATTTTCCATAATTATTTGTTTTGCTGAACCCCGTCATCATCGCCGGCACGTGGCCCAATTGATGGCTCTGCATGCGGGAATACGCCTCAAAAGAGTCTGCGCTTATAAATTACACATTTGTAGGCCTTTTAATTGTGCTTGCAGCCGAAGTAACAATCATCATCAAGATTATAGCCCTAATGGCTTACATCAGAGAGGGCGGATGGGGCGTGGGCATTACCAGGCGATTACCAAAGTGCATACAACATTATCTGGCACTGAATAAAGAGGTCGAAGTTGTTTGCTCCGCCTTTGATAGCAAACAACATGGGAATGGAGAGATATATTGTTTGAATCAGTTAAGCTTATACTGTGTGAAGTATTTAGATAACGGTGAGATCTCTAGTACCAAGGAAGTTATTCAATAACCGTAGATAATATAAACCAAAACATGTTTATGAGTTTGGGTTAGATCTGTTAATATTAAGGAACGTTTATTTACACCTAAAAGAGGGATAACGATTGAAGTAGAAACATAGTTAGACGTCAGTCAATAAAACAAAACAGAACGAACAAATTGAATACTTGATTTACAAAAGAAAGATCGATTCTTAAATCGTAAGAAGAAATTTAGTCAAATATTTAAAATATATAGTTATGCTTTGTCTTACTTCGAAGATCTTTTTGGCTTTATCCGCTCACTAACTTTCTAGTCGTATGTTCATTTATCAATCGCACCTATTTCCATTCAAGTCTTTGGCCTCAATTTTCGATTTTGCTAATTATCTCAGCGCGATCGCTCGCCCCGGGCAGCCTTGAACCCTCCCCCTTGGGGGAGGCATTAAGCCCCATACTCACTCAGCACCCCAACTCCCCCCAAGAAAGCCGAGAGCCCAATGCCTGAGACCAAACCACTTTTCAAACTGAAGCAAAATTTTAAATTTCTGCACGTCGTTCGGCAGCAATTTTTAATTAACAACTCAATTGGCGCCGCAAAAATAAAAACAACCTCATTGGTGGGGCGGTCGACGATGATGATGGTGTCAAAACATATATCAAAGTGGAAATCAAAAGTGCCAGGCGCGATATGGATACCTCTGAACGCCATGGCGATACGGTCTATGTCGGGCAATTGTCGCTAATTAAAAAGTAGAGGCAGCTTTTTAATGGAAACAATTAACCCAAAAACGGCCAATTGAGTGCCGACAAGAGCAACAACGTGTGGCATAAATATTAACAACAACATAAATAACAGTGGCAAAAAAACGCAATCAACTTTCGGCATACATTTTTAGGTGAAACACATGTTGACAAGATTTTCTGTCGGCTTTGATGTGGCATATATTTTTGGAGAATCGCACGAATCTCTGTCAAAACTTGCATTGAGCATGTCAGTCGTTCAAAAACGACACGAAATATGTCTCGTAACTAAAACCAACATAAGATAGATCGCACTATTTTTCCTTACATTTTTTTTAGTTCTCTTGAGTTATATATTCCATTAATTTATATATGTTTTCATTAATAATTCATAAAGCGTTGAGTTGATTAAAAGCCAATCAAAATCAATTGAGATCAATGAGCCATTCAGTCATTTATAAAGGCGTAGAATTGCAAAAGTTTCTCAAGATGGTGTGTTTTTAGTTACATTGTTTAGTTTGTTCCATATCTTTTTCCTCTACGCGTTAATTAATTTTATCCTAAATTCGGCATTAAATCTAAATTTCTCCCCATTGCTCTTCGTATATTTCAGGGTCTTTGCCCGGGCAACCGGTTGCGCGTCTTGAACTCGTACGACTCTGGATGCTTCTCCCCGTCGCCGGCCAGCTCCCCGATTCCGTCCCTGGCGGCCAGCACTGCTACGCTGAACAGCTCCATCTGCTCGGCGGAGATCTACGAGAACGGTTCCATCATCAGTGCGGCCTCGTCCTCGAACTCCACTTCGGGAGGGGTGAACGGAGGATCGGGAGCGGAGTCCACGGCGGCTCACCGCGGAACGAGAAGATCGTGGCACGTCTCGCCGAACAAGGTAGGTTGGTCGTCCTCGTCCCGGATGACTTGTCGATTTCTTAATTTTCCGCTCCGTCTGCCTTTGAAAACCAGGGAACAACATACAGCGAGCAGGGAACTGGGATTCGGGAGGAAGTGCATCTTAATTGATTTCGTTTCTTAGCCAATTTTACATCCTCTTGCGGCTACTGAATTATGATTTTCGTCGGGAAAGTGAAAGAAAGTATTTTCTTGGCTCCTGCGGTTCGCTACGTCGCTCCATCATTACGCTCTGAGGGGTCCATCGCTCATCCATCTGCATCTCCACGATGCGAATGCGATCCCCTGCCTTTTCCACGTCAACTGCGTGTCGTAATTGTGCAATTAATAAGAGTTGCGAGTGCCGATCGTCGGTTCACGGGGATAGCCTCTTGGGGTCCGCAGCTGTCCAACTGGTTTCTCCTTTGCATACGGCTCGTAATTTGCCAATTTGTCAGCTGGACATGCGTTTTATTTGCATTTCTTTCACTTTGATTCGATTTGATTTGCAAATTAAAGGAAACGAACAATTTGGCACCGAAAGAGCCCGACTGCAAGATTGATAGAGAAAGATCATAGATGGTTGTGATCATCCTGGTTGCCAGGAAGGTCTAGTATTCCAGGATCGGGTGGAAGTGATTATCCATCAAAATACTTGGTGGTGTCATCCGACGGACCGGATTAATTGACCGACCTTACCACCGCATCCCTAGAGCTCGCTGACCTTTGGCAACCCAGACAGACGCCCACATCCATGGATGGCGTGTAGTGACTTTCGCTTTCCCAGCCGACTCGCTGACTGACTGACTGACTCGCAGGCAAATCAAATAAAATGAAAACCAAATTACAGAGTCGTAAACATTTCCTCGCATTATCGGCAGCTATCAATCTTAACTGGAGGCAAGTGAAACCATAAATTCAAATTCGAACTGGAGGAGAGCCAGCAATTTGACTGCCCCACTGCAAATTACTTGTTGTTGGGAGAGTTGCCGTCGGAGGCGAAGATTTGGAGAAACCTTTTGCCTATTAAAGCTAAAAGCACTAAATGCTGCCTTTTGTTCGTGTTCGATTTTATTGACTCGGGAAAATCTCACCACGCGAGGCTGTCCACTCGAAGGCGTCAAAAGCCATGTGGGGAATGGCTTCGAACATGCACTTGACCCATCATCCGGTTGCATAAAGTGGAAGAGGTTCCCCGTTTTGAGTGGAGCACCGTTGACCCATTTCCATGGGATGTATGGGAATGGCTTTGATCATTGATTAGGTTCGACAGGAATATGTATATGCCTATGAAGCAAATGGCTAAGTGATCAACTTAAATCTGAGTTTTGGACTTATAAATACCTCACCTTCTACAACGCCTGTGCCCAGCGACATACCTCGATCTAATTGAGAACGGAAATGTCTCGCGGCTGAGGTTGCGCCATCGCTGGGCAGTGGAGGCCAGGTATCCGTACCTCGGTCATCCCACATGGGCATGCTCTTTGGCTGGCGGGGAAAACTCGCCTGCACCGTTAGGCAGCAGCCGCCGCCAGATTGTGTGACAATTTCGAGTTCCTTGAGCCCACGTACAGACAGACAGCTTCGTAGCTGCACAGCTCCACAGCTCCACTCGATCCAGCCATTCCACCTCCGTCACGCACCGACTATAATGCCAAACCAAGCCGAGTCAGGTGGCCAAATGCACTGTACCGGCCAATGGCCAATGGCCAATGAAGATTTATGGCCAGATCCAAAACGAGCGAGAAAGAGACTTTGTGTTTGAGCAAAACATGTCATTTTTATTTTACTGCCCAAAAATGGTTAAAAATGCAGCCAAAGCAGCCACAATAACTCTTTTTTATTTCGGATTCTGCGGAGATTTGTGCGTGACCAAAGTCGGAAAGACTGGAGGATTGCTCCTTTTGGCCCGGCAATGCGGATTTACAGCGAATGCGGTGAAATCATCTCCACCGGTTGGGTCCCACACGCGAGGTCGACTTAACGACATTTCTTTACTCCCCTAAGTTGGCTCGGGACTTTTTCCTAGCAGGTCCCTTCGAAGAAAGATTCTCCCGCTGCCCCTGATTAACATTTTTCATACAAATGTTGATTTTTTGTTTGGATTCGTACGTGAGAAAATGCCAAAATTTTGATCAGACAAAGAACCCGAGAAATGCGTGGGCCTAACATGGCCTCTACTTGCCCTCCTCGGATTCGACGGGGGCAGGTGTGCAATGATCAGCTCAGAATATGTTGAAGGAACATTGAAATGCAGGGAACGAACTTCGAAACTCTGAAGATGATTATCTCGCGTTTGCTACTGTTTTCGGGCTTGGAACTCAAACGAGAACAAAAAACATGTCTCTTTGTTGTGTAAGAGATATTTACACTCCCAGAATCTGAAATTTTTTCATAGCTTGTGGGGAATTCAAACTGTGGGCCATCAAAAGGCAGTTATAATTGAGCCAGTCGTACGAGGAAAGCAAAACGCCTGCCGGCCGGACTTTAATGGTCTGTCTCTTTCGACCAGCCCAACCCATGAAGTGCCCCAAATGTGTCAAAAATATACAAATCTCTGATATATGCCTTGGAAAATCCGTTCATTTGGGTCACTTAAACCAAACAAAGAAGAAGTTTCCAGCAGGAAAAGTCACGCGAATCGGCTGGGAAAAGAGAGTCCCAGCATGTGGGTCGCCAGGAAACCAAACCCATAAAGACAATGGATGACTCCTGCTGGGCCCTGTTCCATTTAAGGATTGCACAACTGATTGCAGTTCTTGAGGCTGACTTACTTTCAGGTGGTCTAGTTGGTTCCGAGACTTACTGTGGGCACTTCAAATGCCCAGTCGCCGACTCGGATCAGCTGCCCCGATCCCCTGATTTCCCGATTAGATAGATGGCGTCCAGAAACCCTCTCCACAGCTCTCGGGTCCTCATCCTCATCCGCAGCTGCAGCTGTTTGCTTTTATTTTGGCATTTTACTGAGCACTTTGTTGACTCGTGTTACGCGTCAATTGGCACTTCAAGGGCTGAGACAAAGGCGATCCGAACCGAGCAAAGGACATTGGATATTGGGGTGAGGTCCTGCCACCGCGACAGTCCGCTTCAGGTAGAAGTTCTCCGCCATCAAACGATCCTCTTTTAAGGGGGAACTTCCTGCCGTAACGGCTTCACTAATTAGGAATCGATTCATTTCGAGGGGCGTGGCTTTTCTGCGGTGCATGCCTGGCCTACCGAATGTTGATGATTTTGGCATATGCCATCGTAGTAATATGTCATCGATCTATGCCAACATATGGCAGCCCAATGTGGAATCGAACTATTTTAGGGGGTAGCAAAATAATATAGTCAAGCTCTCACCCTTATCCTGTCCAATGGAATTTTAATTTAGGAAACATGAGTAATTTGAAAATTTTGTTAAATTGGTATTATTGCATTCATTATTGTTTTTTAGTTAGTTTTTGTTTCTGGAATTTACCGCACTTTACCTTGACAATGAACCCCTTTGAACTGTCCCTGTATATCCCAGAAGACCATTGCGCAGGCGTTAGAAAATTTCCCAACCATTTTCCCGACTTTTCCTTAACCTTTCTCAGTTTTTTTTGGGCTGCAGTCGCAGTCTGGTTTTTACCTTGCGACGGCGACGTTTTTCCAAGCCGGAATTTTTTATTTTATAGCCCAGTTTTGATACTAGTGTATTTTTACAAGATGTGATAAGCAGGCGAGCCGGAGGAGTAGAGCGAAGAAGGTGAGCCACGCCCAGATTGATTCACTATAGAGCAGGATTCCATTGGATTTTTTTTTAAAGGGTACCAGATTTGAAGGGCAGGAAAATCGATAAGCCACTTGCGAACAGGCAGTGTGGGGTGGGGGAAGTCGTAGTAGTAGTAGTGTTCGGGTGACTAAGCCACCCAAACTTTCGGAAATCCCATTCTAACCATCCGCTTCTTCGGCAGGTAATCACACCGCAGAGGCACGGTGATGTGTACATCTACAACTGCTCACCAGGATCAGCTACTGGAACTGGGACAGGAGCAGCCCAAGACACGCCGCACCAGCAGCAGATCTATAGCAACCAAAGCATCTACCAGAACCTAGCCATGATGTCCGGGCCCCACCAGAACGGAAGTGGTAGCGAGTTTGAGACCTACGACATACCGAAGCCAGCCACGCCCGTGCCGCTGAACTACGACAGTCCCAGGAGTGGCGTTCCGCCAAGGACTCCGACCTGCGGCTCCAGCCTGGGCGCCCGCTTTGAGTCGCTCAAGAGCGTGGCCGCCTCCATCGAGGAGGAGTCCTACGATGTGCCACGGCCTCTGATCTCCGGAAGCAGCATACTTCAGCAGCAGATGTCCCAGATGACGCCGAGCAGCTCCGCCTCCTCCTTGCTGACCAACGACAGCCTCTCGTTAAGCTTCTCCAGCTCGAACCGGTCCTCGTTGGCCAACATGCCCGACTACGACATCCCACGTCGCAATCCACTTCCTGTGCGTCGCCAGCAGAGCGGTCTGGCCTACGACTTCCCGCTGCCCCCGCTGCAGGAGCAGGAGCAGCGAGTGGTCCCCACTCCCGCAACAGTCACATCTTCCAAAGAACTGCCGCTGGAGCTGAGCTCGGCGCTGGAAACACTGGCCAAGCTGCAGCACCAGACGACTGCCGCCATCAGCCGGCTGCTAAGCTTTGTGGTGCCCAACTGGCGCACCCATGCACAACTGGAGCCGGCCATCATGGAGCTGAAACTGGCTGCCCTGCGTCTGCGCACAGCTCTTCACGACCTGGCCGAGTTCGGGGAGGGAGCCCTGGGCAATGCCACCCGATCAGAAGATCGCAACCTGGCCCTCAAGTTGAGACCCTTGGTGCGAGCTTTGCGTGATGCCAACAAGCTGATACACGACTCCTCCGAATCCCTCGAGGCCCAGGGCGGCTGGTCCGTGGAGCAACTCTCCCGAAACGACGAAAAGCACGGCTGCCGACCACCTGACGCACTGGACCAATTGATGGCCTGTGCCCAGACGCTCACCGAAGATGTGCGCTCCACCACCAGTTTCATCCAGGGCAACGCCTCGCTACTTTTTAAGCGACAACTGGTCGCGGAACAGAATGTAGGTGGTGCGACCGGAGCAGTTGAGGGCAGTCGTGGAAGTGCCGAGTGGCTGGAGGATTACGACTATGTGGCCTTCGAGTCCAAGGACGCGGCCGCCCGAAAGAACCAGGCGCTGCGTGAGGCCATTCCCGCCGGGCTGAAGACGCAGTTCGATACGGTGATCCGCACGGCCGAGAGCTCGGCCATGGGCGGCACTTCTGGATCGATTCCCACCACGCCCACGGCACCCATGACGCCCTGCAAGTCACCGGAGATGACCGACAAAGACAAGAAGCTGGTGCGCTATTATGCCCAGCAGATCTCCACGCACATGGGCAACCTGATGCAGGCTATTGACTCCTTCCTGGAGACGGTGGAGAAGAACCAGCCCCCCAAGTTTTTCATTGCCTACGGAAAGTTTGTGGTTGTTAGCGCCCATAATTTAGTGACCATCGGCGACAACGTCCACCGAAACATCTCAAAGGAAGCGCTGCGGGAGAAGATCCTGCGCTGCACCAACGCCCTCTCCGACGCCCTGAAGACCTGTGTCTCCAAGTCGAAGAAGGCGGCGGCGCACTTCCCCAGCGGCAGTGCGGTCCAGGAGATGGTCGACTCGGTGGTGCATATCAATAGCCTGGCCAGGGAACTGAAGGCGGTCATGCTGCAGGCTGTGCATCTTTCCACTGCGGCGGGCGTGGGCGCCTGAAGAGAAGTCCTGCCAACCCGGGCAGCCCAGCCCGATCCGATCGATCCCAAGCCCAGTATTAGCTGAGAGGCGTGCAGCCAAGTCTTCCAGCTTTGTCCACGCTTTGACAGATGTTCCATATATCTGAAATTGGCATATCCTCCTGATCCCCAGAAAACAGCGCCGATTGTCGCTTATATTTTGCATTGTGATATTTTTGAGCAAAACATCTGAAAATGCACAGCACCGCAGTCACGATCAACCGATCCCTGCCAGAGCCCACAACCAGGTTAGCCTAAGTCTTCGATTCTGTACATAGCAAGCTCATCCTAGCCTCCGACTATTGTAAATTAGCATATTACCATACTTCCCATGTCATGCGCACAAGCAATGTTGTATCAGTGAAGCATTTCAGCGTAGTTTTGTATACTCTAGGATAGGTCTTACCACATAACCATTTGCTTAGATAAAGCACGCATATATAGTACTTGCATAGTCAGAATCTGAAAGATTTACACTCAACATTTGCATTGTGCTGCGGCGACGATAGTCAGCAATATACGAAAATACACGCATAAATTATAAATTACCAAGTAAACTGTATGTTATATGAACAAAATTGGAATTGGCCCCTCGAGACCAGCCCCAGCGACAACTATACACTTAAATAAAATAACATAAAATTTAATCCACATGGCGTTTGAATATTTAATCCTATTTTTAGCAATCCTTAATCTTTTGCTTATATTAATAGATTTCTAGTTTGCTAGCGACGATATTTGTGATCAACATTTTTTCAAATCCCTCTGATGAATTTTGAATATGAAAACTAATGCATAAGCAATCTGATGACTGTGAGACATTCAAAATTGACGCCAATGGCTAGGTATCGATAACTATCAAGCTGCCCCTGCCAGCGTGACCATTTATCATGATCATGGTTTTGGTATATTTATGGTTGTGTTGGTATTTTTTCGCGCGTAATTCTACTTCTAAAATGGGTAAGCAAGAAGACTTGGAAACTATTCCAAATGGTTTCAAAACTGCAGTACAAGCAGTACAACCTGCAATGCATTTTGCATAAATAGAGGCATAAAAATGCTGGCTTTTCAAGATCAGCAAGATTCGATTTTAATCCGCGGATCAGTTGTTGGACAGCTTTGGCGCGAAAAGCAGGTTGCATTGCGAAAATACTGCAAAGTACCCACACAATTGAAGGGTACTTTTGTGTGCTGATAGCTGACTCAACCCGAGACACTTGCAGTGAAAAGTTCTGTTTCTTGGAGATTGCCATGAATAAAGCTTGCTGTAGATGTGGTGCTGCCCAAAACGCTGGCCCTCATTGCCTCAGAGGTGCTGTGAGCCACTGTTTTTGCTGCCACAAGCCACCGCCGATGAAGTGCATCCATTGTGGCGTTCTCGGAGACATTCCTCTTGAAGAGAGCCACGGAACTTGCGTCTATGGAAATGCACACTACTACATCTACTCGGAACAGTGGCCTCCGTTCCCGTTCACCGAAACTGAAACGATCCCCCACACCCATTCGCCCGAACTAGGCGAATCAGGAGGCCACCCTCTGTCCATCACGGATGCCAGGACTCTGGAGGACGAACCCATTGAAGTTGCGGACGATCCCCAGGAAGCGACCGCAAACGATGGGGAGGACGACGATGTGCACGTCGAAAGAAAGCCTTCGACGCTCCGCTGGGTGACCACTGAAGAGATCCGCGCTTGGAAACAGTGTCCGCGCTGTCGGAGGCATCGCACCACAAATGTTGGCTGGGTCAAACATGCCCAGAAATGCGCTCAGGACGCCTCGTACAAGCGAGCCATGTTTTTTATCTACACCCACACAAAGGGTTGGTGTAACTATCTGGTTAGGAACTCCGTTTGGGATCGGCACAGTAATGGCCAGTGCACAACCTGCTCCGCATCGTAAGAAAATAGCGGGAACACCTTCGGTACAGGTTAGTTAACCGTTTGCACTACCATTATAGGCGGCGTGAGGGACTACCCATGCCCTTCATGCCGGATCCACCACCCAGGCCAAATGAAGACTACTTGGCCAAGATGCGACGGCAGAGGGCGAGAGAACGGCGGGAGAGAGAACGATGCAAAAGAACTAATGCCCGCGTTCCTGGAGACAGCGCAGCGCAATTGTCGCCTGGATATGAGCATAGAACGCCACGTATCCCAACAGGCCCAAATGCTTTTTCTTCGCCCACAGGAAATGATACGACTATCTGGTTAGGCACTAACATAATGAGAACCACAGCAATGCGATTGTTGTCCAGTGAGTCATGAAATCCGCATCGTAATAAGAGAACTATCACAGACTTCTTATTTTATATTTTATTGCGTCTATTTCAGGCGACGTGAGGGATTAGCCAGAATCTTTAGTGATGGATCCTTCACTGGGGCACAAGAAGGCAGAATGGGCTGCCCTTAGAAGAAAAATGTGGGGAATTAACGCCACTGAAAATCCAACTTCACACTGTAACATGTAAGCTTTTATTACTTTTGATAATGGTTTTTTATTCCCGTCTCTTTGTCCGCATCTTGATTGCTTTTTTGTGTCATATGTGGAATGTTTCAGCACTGGCCTATAAATTTGGCCTGCTAAATTTAACTTACTCGTTTATGTAGATTTTGTACATAAAATTTATATCTTATAGAACGTTGTTTTTACAAAGTAAATAAATGTTATCGCGATCACAGCCTACGCGTTCTTGGCGCACCGGAAGCCCAGGTTGCCGGCCGAGCTGTCCTCTGTGTTCTGAGATCGGGCCGCGCACCTGTACCGGTAGCAGTAGGACTTGTGGCACAGGTAGGAACCACCCTTCTTCACCCGATTCGGGTTGTCACTCACGTCGTTCGCATCCCACAGATCCGCGGTCCACTCCCAGACGTTCCCCACCATGTTGTGCAGATCATAGACGTTTTGCCGGAAGGTGTCCACTGGGCTGGTGAACTCAAAGCCATCATCAGCCAGATTGCCATCGGGAAAGTCGCCTTGCCAAATGTTTGTCCAATGCTCGCCCCTGGGCATCAGCTTGTTGCCCCACGGGTAAAGTTTTCGATCCTTGCCGCCGCGACATGCGGACTCCCATTCTACTTCGGTGGGCAAACGCTTCCCCACCCACTTGCAGTATTCCACAGCGTCGCGCCACGAAACGTGCGCAACCGGATGTCGCCCCAGGTTTTCCAGACTGCTGTCCACGCCGTTGGGATGGCGCCAGCTCACACCGGCCACCTTGTACCACCAAACGGCGCTAGCCACGCGGAAGTCCTCCAACTCCCTCTGCTCCGATGGACTCAGAAGGCTCTTGAACAGAAAACTATCGCCAAAGCGCTCGGCCTCCGTGGTGTAGTTGGTGTCCAGAACAAACTTTGCGAAGGCGTCGTTGGATACTTCGTACTTGTCCATGTAGAAGTCCTCCAGCTTCACTTGACGTTCCGGACCTTCCCGATCGGCCGGAAAGTGCGGATTGTCGGTGCCCAACAGATAGCTTCCTCCTGGAATGAGCGACATATCCGCGATTTCTGCTTCCAGTTCGCCATAGTAATCCCGGTAGTGGCTTGCACCCTGCGCCCTTTGCTGGCACACTTGATCTGGAAGCGGCGCCTTTTCCCCATCGGGCGTTGTGTTGCGGTCGAGCTTCTGGCAGCCACAGTCGCTGGAGGCGTCATGGAACAGAAATATCCAGATAAAAATAGGAATTGTTTTCATGTTGCGGATTAGCTAGTGATGGCGATGACTCGATGTTTCTGTTGAAATCGATGATAAGGGATCTATCGATGATAGGATTAGTTTTTTATTTGTTATTAAAAAAATATCTGTCTATACATTAAAAAACTGCTAATATTTTAAAAACGAAAGAATTAAATTTAAGGCAAACTATTTTCTTGCGTATTTAAACTTGTAGCATACTTTTAAGCTCAGTCTGTTTCGCTGCCAAATTAATTGCATCTTTTGGGGATTTATTAACATGGCGCTCACTGACAAATGCTCGCTTCCTATTGGCTGGCAAATAGGATTCTCTTGGTCGGAAGCCATTTTGAATAAAACAGCTGATCGCCAGAAACCTGCTAAAATCGTTGGTCACTTTCTGAGCTTTATGTTCGCCTGGTGCTTCAAAATCATAAATCACCAGGTTTGACTGGAAAAAATTGAGTTTGTTGGTTGGCAAATCGAAGATTTTTCATTTTAAAACACCAGGCGAACATAATTCTTAGTAAGCGTCCACGTAAAATTTGGGATGTTCTTTAAACAACCGTTAGTTCTGTCCAAGGCACACAGAGGCGTAGTCCGCAGAAAGAGGGGTTTGGGGGTCAAGGGCCCCCATTAAACCCCCTTAGCCAAAATCTGCCTACGACCCTGACAATGGGAACAATCTAAATTCAGACACCTACTAGTGAATTCTGTTCTCCTGGTCATCAATGCAATGAATCCTACTTTTTCCCATCGAATTGCGATCAAGCCAGCCCACATTTTTCGCAGCCAAGCTAGGCAATTGTGATTTCGATGTACCAGGCGAACAGAAAGCTTAGATAGTATCCAAAGATCGGAGCACGGGTCTGGCAATCAGCTGTTTTTTTCAAGATGGCTGCCGAACGATGGAATCCTATTGGCGGACCAATAGGATGCGAGCTTCTGTCAGTAAGTGCTTTTTGATCGGATCCCCTAAAGTATGCTAGAAATTTTGCATAAACAAGTTTTGACGAAAGCTCGATCAAATGTGAGCTTACTTTAGTTTTGAAATGTAACTTATTGGAATCTATGCATCTTTGTATTACAATGTTTCAATACATTTCCCAATGTTTAATCATTAAGAAATAATTGAAAATTGATTAATTACATTGTTTAATCATGAAAAAATGTTCAGAAACGATTAAGCCACAGTTGCACAGGGTAAACACATTAGAAACGGTACGTACGAGTTAAATAAGTTTAAATTAGAGTATGGCGCAAATCGTTGTTAACAAAACTATGATGTACGGTGGACCTGAAGCCTGGGGCCCGGAGGCTATGCCTCGGTGGGCTTTTCGTGCAGCCAGGGCCGGAATATGGGCAGCGTCGACGGATAGTGGGTGTGGGTGTCAGGCTTCAGCACCGACTCAGGCCAGGTGTTGGCATTCGCCGCATCTCCGGAGTGCCGGAAGGGGTAGGTCGCCAGCACGATGGGAAGCTGCAGCTTGATCTCCTTCTCCATGGACTTTGGCTCGATTACGAAGAAGACGTCGTAAGATATCTTTATCAGGTGACAGCCGTGCAGGTTGGTTGGCGGCAGGGGCGGTACGTAAAGCTCGTTGTGCCACTCATCCTTGCCCCCAGGACGGATCTTGCCACGAACAAGGACAGCCAGCTCCCGCTTCTCAGTCTGCACTACTTTTCCGCGCGCCAAATACTCGATGGTCTGTAGGGAAAAGATTCGGAATTAAGTCGAGTCAATGCTGCAATGGAAGCTGGAACCTACCTCGGTGAGCGACGCCTTAGTGCGCTTAATGGACACATTGCTGTAGTTGGAGATGAATGCGGTGACCAGAATGTTCTCCCCAGGCACATAGCCACCGCGGTCCAGGGACACCCTGCACTTGATTTGACCTCCGCCCACGCAGACGACGCCCAGTTTGTGCTCCACTTCGCAGGTGAACGGTTGCTGAAGGTGCGAGGGTGAGCTCCTTACTGAGAAGAGTTGGTGTTGCTACTTACTGCCAAAATGGGTTTCTCAAGGTTCAGGTCGATGGGGTTCATCACGATGAAGACCTGGTGGTTCTTGTGGATGATGCCGTTATTCTCGCGTAGCGCCGCCTTGCAGTAGAACTGAATCCAGCCGTAGCGGCCCAGGAAAGTGGATGGCAGGCCCAGTGGCAGGCCGAGCTTGAAGGGAAAGCTGTGTATTCCCGGCGAGAGTATGGCTGGACCGCCCTGGTCCACGTCCCCCAGGAGTCGCATTCGGAAATCGATGTAGTTCTCCTTGTCGTACGTCCGCTCCTGTCGCCGACCGTTGCGCACCACGCCCTCACCCACCACATGGAAGTGGAGACCCAGGGCCGGCGTTTCGTCCTGCAACTCGATCAGCACGCGGCCGGAGAGGAACTGGCCCGGGAAGTACAGCAGGGAGGTGTTGTCGAAGATGATCAGGAATTTAAGCAGCTTGCGCGGCATCTTGGCTCCGTTTGGCTGCAGCTTTCATCGGCTGCGTGTGCCTGGGGAAAAGCCAACAAAAGTCGTCAGTTTAGCGTTTGCAATTATTTGGCACCGTCGCGCATGCGTCAATTCGGTTCGGCTTCAGTTCGGTTCGGTAATGACAACACTTATACCCAACCGTCATACTTGGCTACGTCTGCGGCCATGTACCACGGACTGCCACTGCCCTCACATTCGTATGTACGGCGTTTGTTTGCATATTTATGTGGGTAGCATCTAGGCGGGCTAAGGAAGCAAAACCAGTTTGGCGTGGCCCCAGAGATGGCTGCGTGCATGGCCATGCAGCACGACAGCCGCACATCCGCAGCAAGGTCAGGTAATGGGCATGGAGCATCTCGGGTCGTGTCACGCCCGCGCCCTCAACGCTGGCCCAGAGTCAAGCATGTATGTACATCTTTGCCAAAACCGTAAGCTGCAACTGCCATAATCGGCGAGCCAGTTCAATGCATTGGCTGACAATGTTGGGATTGCGGATTGTGAAGCCGAAACCGAAACCAACGCAAAAGAGGAAACTGACGTAATTTCCTCGTGGAAAGCGGATTCCCATCAGTCCAATGCCGTGTTTTGTGTGGACCACATTCATGTACTTATGTATGTATAAATACAGATCAACGTTTTTGGGTAGTTAACTACAGATCGATTGTTTTCTGTATATCATTGTGGGCGCACTTAAAAGAATGATCGCTTTTCGAATACCTGTACACACACAAAGGTTTTTTTTGGCCAGATTGGAACACCAATCCAGTCCAAGCCTATCCGATACGACCCGTTCTAGCTCTGAGCGCACTTTAACTTGGCTCGATCTCAACCGCGCTCGCTAGCGTTTGTTTAGCAACTGATCGTCGTCGTCGTCATCGTCATGCATCAGTTTGCGACTGAGAAGGTGACCGAACAACTTGTTTTGAGCGCGTTTCTGCGAGCGATCCGTTGGAGAGGAGAGAGATCCAGCTGGAGCTGGAGCCGAGGCCGAGATGTCGTAATATGCCAATCAGTTGCCCCACAGCTTTTGTTTTTATTATGTTTCGTATACGCGAACTGCATGGATAGGCTTGCCGTTCCAGCGGCCTCCCAGGATTCAACCCGACCAGCCTGACCGGCAACAAAAGACCAAAACCAAAACAATGGCAACTTGATACCAGGAACCCTTAGAACATTTCGCCTTTCCCAAAGTTGCACCTCTAAAAATCACCCACCAAATCGACTAAGCTTTCGAGCAGATCGCTAATCAAGTTTGGTAATGCCTGCAAAGTCGCCACTCCGAGAGCAAGCAGGTGAAACTCCAACTTATGGGACTTAGTCGCACCTAGGAATGCCTGACTTATAAATCCGTAAGCCTTACAACACCAAGCCTGTGCTCCACAGGTATGTATCCACAGTCAACCGAACGTGTGCAGACATAAATGCAATAAGTGGCACACATTTATGCATTATGCATGCAATTCATACCGGTTTAGTGTTGTCTTTGGGTATCCAAATCGAAGAACCTCAACTGTAACTCATGAAAATGAAAGGCCAAAAGCCAAGCAAACTATCAAAAGAAAACAGAAACCGCACTGACTGCGAAAACCGAATCGGTGAATGGCTTGGCAGCCGGTGGCAGGCTATACCCAGAGCTCCCAGGGCTAATTCTGTTGGATACCTCGTTATCTTTTTTAGTAGGCTCGACCATTTGATCTGGTAAATCAAAGCTACACAGAGATTTTTTTTCAAATATTTGGGGGGCCGATCCTATGCGGAGAAAACCCAATAATTCGCGCAACAGACTATGCTGATTATAAGACAAAACGATTAATATCCCTGGTTGATTTGCGCAAGTTTCTTTTCGGATTTCTCCCAACTAAATTAGTGACACTTAGTGGTAATGGCTTGAGTTTTCCATTTCTATGTTTTCTCGACTTAATTGCTGAGAATTGTTGACTTATAATGACCCAAGCCGTCACCATGAAGACAGATGGAAACGAGGCTCGATATATATACCGTTTGCGGTCTGGGCAGTACAGAGTATCTGAAAATTAGTTTACCTCGGATGGAGACTTCTATACTTGTTCGGTCCGAAATGATAATCGACTAGTTGGGCTCGGAGGTTCGGGTAGCCAACAATTAAGTGAGCTGGAGTCGCAGTCAGTGTGGTTTCGTAGCTGCTCCGTGCACCACCGTGCCGATCTCCAAATCTCGACTCCGTTTATCGCATTGTTAAAGGCCCGGCTCTATAGCAATTATAGTAAGCCTCCTTCCGTCTTTCATAATAGTAGCGAAAGCCAGGCCTTGCAGCAAAGAATATCTCGGTGTAGCATCAACTGCGGTGGGGAGTGGCCGGTCCCAACCATAAACCTACCCACGATACCGCAAAGTAAGGCTCGAAGAGAAAAACAAAAGGTGTTTCTCCGACAAATCGGTGGTGTGGAGAGCTGGCCTCTTGCTGTGCGTTTTGGCCACTGTTTTGCCTGCTCTTGGCTTCTTTCGATTCCCTGGCTTACTCTTAGCCGAATGGAGTTGCTTTAAAGACCGACTTGTTCGCGCAGTGCCTCAGTTGTGGCGATGAGGCCGAGCGCGCTGGTAAGACATGGTCGCAGCGGAAAGTTGGTCGAATCTGGGTCTTCAGTCGGGCAGGTGTATCGCGAGAAAGTTGAAACTGTAACAGGCCAGGCACTCGTAACCGTAACACAGCCCCCATGAGTCATCCACTCCAGTGTTTACATGGCGAGGAGTTGTTCTAGGTGGTCCACGATCGTATCGATGCCGTGAACACATGTCATGTTACCACAGATTAGCATAATTGGCTAATTGCCGATCTTGACACGTTGTTAACGGACGCAACCGGAGAGAGCGACCTGCGCAGGCGCACCAGATTCTGGAGAAGAACTGTTACCCAATTGTCTCCTCCGCTTACAAACGGTTGTGCTGCATAAATTACACCGATTGTTTTGTTTTCGTCGCGTCTTATACAATATCTGATTTGCATACCCCAAAAGTTTGATTGGCTAACCCTCTTTTATGCGCTGCTTCCACAGAATGCCAGCAGACACAATGACCAGTGAGCCAGCGGTTAATGGCTTTGGGCCCCAGAGCTTGCCAGCGCCAGGAGACGACGACTCGCTATCCTCGCTGTCGGACAACTTGTCGATTTGGATTGACGGCGAGGAGCACTGGATATCCGGCGTGGACGCCAGCACCACCTGTGCAGATCTAATCTACGCGTTAATCAGCTACAAAAGCGTTCAGCAAGATACGTTACCTAAAGAAGATGCCCTCGCTGTTCGTCTGGGGCTAGAGCCCAGCCAAAAACATTCCGCCCAGACGCCACAGGAGTTTGCCATCGTGCAGAAGCAGCGGCACTACGAGGAGTACTTGGACGGCAGTGCCAGGCTCTTTGATGTTATCACTAGCCGTCACGCTTTGCCGAAGGAGGAAGTAAGGGAAAGGCTCCCATCAAGTTAAACGTTTCTCACCCCTATTTTCTTTCGCACAGTGCCAGCTTCAGCTTCGCCACTTGGCCATTTCAACCCGCAAGCACACCCCGACAACGGATAAGGACAGTGGGATGGGCAGTCCAGTGGACAGTTCGCGAAGCATGCGCTTCCGGCGGCGGGGCAGGCACAAGGTACTACCCTCCACTAAGACCGCGGAAAGCACCAGCACTAAGCAGCCAAAGAGGAGCCGGAAACTACAGCAGAGGAACCACCACATGACTCCAAACGAGAGTCTGCTGACCATTATCCTGGCCCAGGATGAGACCATACTCCAGCAGATGTCCATGTTGCAGTAAGTAAAGCAGGACTTTATCTCCTAATATCCCTGACCTCCCTCGACGACTTTCCACAGCGAGAAAGACAGACAGATTTTGAAAATCGAGGAGGAAAAGCACCGGGCGCGTGAACGAGAATTGGGTAAAAACTACCTGCTTGAGACATATCTGAAGGACTTGGATGAGCCCCAAGAAAACGGCCCAGACCTTGAAGACTTCGAAGAGGAAATACAGAGATTACAAGATGATGGTATTTATGAAATTGGGTCATGTATATAAGAACTACAGCGCACTTCTTCTCTTTGCAGATAAGAACTACCGATCGCCAAACGATGGTGACACCGCCAAGGAAGAGATTTGCCTGTATTGGCTGGAGAAGATTCACGCGGTAAACAAGCAACTGCAGCGGGAGGAGGAACTGCTGCTCAGCCTGCACGCCAAGGTGCGTAGACACCAGGTGAAGCGGGCTTATCAAACGAAGAGCGAGGTGCTACTGCAAATCGATAGACTCGATACAGAGCTAGCGGCTCAGGTGGCGGATATCCACCGAGTGGAACGGAAGCTTTTCACGGCCAATGAACAGCTAAAAGCGAAGCTGGGTGTGCTTGAATGTTTGGGTCGCGAATTCGAGACAACGGTATCCAGAGGCGATCTAGAAGCCGCTGCCGCTGAAAGCGAGGAAACTGAAGAAGCGGCACTAAGCCCATCAGATGATATCCACCAGTCTGGGAATCGGACGCCAGTTTCAATGGGACACACCAGGCGACGCGTGACGCAGCAAGAACTGACGGACAGGAACTTGAAGGATCGACTAGTACCCGACAAGGGATTATCGAAGCAAATGTTCAAAGTGAGCAGATCACCAGATCCTCCTACCTCAACCGTGCTCAGAAGAAAATATTCACTTTCGCAAGTTCCGAAAACGGACATCCAGCACCTAGGCACCCTCGTTTAAATTCCGCGAGGAACCTGTGGTGCACTTCATTCAAGTATCTCGTTAAACGTATTTTGAACATCAGTACCAAATTTGTGTCAACTAACCAAATAGAGATTTCATTCTTTGTTTATGTTTAACACTCGAGTGTTTCGTGGTTAACGGCGTTGTATGGTACAACAACTATGGCTTATTACGCTAAAAAAGCTAGACACCAAAACAAGTTCCTTTTTGCAATCCCTAAATGTGCCTAAATTTTAGCGGACCTCTTCAACTGCTGCATGAATCCCGCATTGGGCTGAATGCTTGGCCTCCAGGATTTGACCAGATTGTACGCATCCTCGTAGCTCATGTCCCGGCGTTGCATTAAATAGCCGATGACCACGGAGGCGGATCGCGAAACGCCGGCGTTGCAGTGAACGAGCACACAACCCTGTGACCGGCGGGCCTCGTCGATAAAGTCAAGGGACACGGGGAGGACGTAGTGCGTCAGGTCGGTTTCCGGCAGATCCAGGCAGGGCAAGTACTTACATTTCACTGGCGTCGGCCACTCCACATCCGGCGTCTGTATGCCGACGCTCAGAATATGCGTTATCCTGTACTTCACAACATTGTCCGCGCAGACTGCGTCCTGGGAGCCGAGGTACAGAAAGTCGCTCAGAATGCAGGCGGGCACAGCATCGGGCTTCGTATCCACGACAAAGCCGTATTGACGCGGCTCCAACTGGTGCGAACTCGAGGCTGTGCCCTCCTCGCTGCCGGACGATCTCCGCTCAATGAAGCGGGCACCGGTGGGAGTGGTTACGACAGTGGCGGTGGGTCTCAGGTTGGCCAGCCGCTTTTGCAGCTCATACAGCAGTATCATTGCGCGGCTTTAGTTGAACGCGTCTCGGTAGTGCACTCGGCAGAGGTAGAGCCCGCAGGCCGGCGCCAAGAGCACGCGATGGTCCCAAGAGTTCTTCGAGGGAATAGTGAGCATCTGGTAGAGGCACCGCTCGTCGATGCGGCCGTTGCCCAAGGCAATCAACGCCCCGACAATGCGCCTTACTTGCTTGTACAGAAACGACTTGGCCTTGATCTCGATGTCCCAGTAGTTGTAGGTTTCGGATGCCAGAGAGGCGTTCGGCGCCAGAGCAAGTGATCTACCTGGACGAATGTTGATCTCGTCCACTTTGCGCACCGTGAACATCGGGTGATCCCGACTAGGGCCTTTCTGCCGGCTGACGCTCATAAAAGTGCGAAAGTCGTGGACGCCGATGAACATGCGCGCCGCGGCCTGTACTCTTTCGATATCAAAGCTGGGGGATCTGTGGAGGAAGATTTTTTTTTTACCAATTTTGGGGCTTGCGATGATGTCTTACTGCAGAAAATAACAGCGATCGATTTCCTCCACGGGTATGTAGGCCTCGTAGGCCTTGTTTCGGAGATTCTCGTCTGCCGAGGGCGGATCTTTCGCGACGGCAAACCGGTACAAGTAAGTGCGCCCAGTGGCGTGGTAGCGGCAGTGGAAGGAGTCGGCCACCAACTGGCTGCTCAGCACTCGGATGGGAAGACGCTGCTTGGCGAAGGTCCGGTTGAGCACTCCCACTAGTATGGCATTGTCGTAGGGCTGTCCATTAGGCCGCTCAAGATCGACATGAACCGTCGAGTGAATGGCGTGAACACCAGCGTCTGTGCTGAAAGTGAATTGGGACTGTAGGTTCCGTAGAAGGCATCCATTGCTACCACTTACCGACTGGAGAGTACGGTCTGTATCTCGTTTGTGGGATGGAAAACCCGAAGCGCCAACTCCAAACAGCCTTGAATCGACTGGGTGTCAATGCGCGACTGTTCCAATTTGTTCACCGTCTTCTGGATACCACTGCAGGATGGAATCGCTGTGTTTAGCCAAAGGCAGGTACTGAATTCTACCAATACTTACCGAAAAGTCGTGCCAATGTACGAAATGTTCAGCAAATACCTGTGCATGTTATATAGCACCTCCCACGCTGATAGAGATGGACAGCAACAGCTGGCGGCAGTTCCAAAGCTCTAGAGGTGGTGCAAGTCCAACGACACAACACAATTTGTTTCTTTCTCAGGGAATTTCACCATTCTGAGTACTGCTCATGTTATGTAACTCCGCGCAAATAAAAAACACTTAGGTTATCCTAACTATTAGGCAGTTATCCGTCAATATATTCCACAAAAAACGCAATTTTGGTTCCTCTTGCACTCAGCGAATATCGATACACGATTGCGAAATCGATTTCGGGTATTAGACAACAACAGCGCACCCGGCCACACTGCTGTCACGAGAATTTTGTAATAATAAAAGTTTAATTTTTAAGTAGACCAACAACTTTGAAGCCGAGTGTGGGGGGCCAGCGGTCTAATACTTTCCCGTCTCTCGCACAGCGGTCCATCCAAATTCCAAGCGGCAGAGTTCGCCCGTCGACATCAGCAGTCACTAGACCAAGACCACCCAACCACCCCACCACGTAACTAGAATGGCCGGCTTCCCCGAGTACGCCCACGGCGAGGAGACGGAGGTCAATGGCTGGATCCGCTTCGGCCTGCGGCTGGGCGTCAGCGCAGCCCTGCATCCGTTCGAGTACTCCAAGACGCTCATCCAGCTAGGCTACGAGCCCATCGCTGCGATGCCCGGCAAGTCGCTGCTGGGCAAGCCGATCATGAAGCTGCCGAACATCTTCCAGTACGGTGGGTACAAAGTTCCGCTTCCGGTCAGAGGTGGATAACGTTCTTGTTTTTTGGTTCCGCAGCTGGCCACATACGGCGGGTCGACGGCCTCTACGGCTGCTATCGCGGTCTGGCCCCCAAACTGGTGGGCTCTCTGGTGGCCATGGTGGTGAGCGAACGGGTGGTAGACAAACTGGGCCTGGAGCAGCCGGAGGAGATAAAAGACGACTCCCAGCTCAGCGAGGAGGAGATGCAAGTCCTTTGAATCACGTGCCATGACCGCCGTGCAACTTCTGCTTTTGTTTATTGCAGGTACGTTCAGTTCAAGTCGAGTCTGAAGCGGGACATTGTATTGACGGTGAGCGGAATCGTGGCCTCGCATCCCTTCCACGTGATCTCGCTACGCATGATGGCGCAGTTCGTCGGCCGCGAGACCTTGTACACCTCTATCGTGGGCTCTGTTGCCGAGATCTGGAAGACTGAGGGCATCGCGGGCTTCTTCGCCGGTCTGGTGCCAAAGCTGCTGTGCGATGTGGCCTGCCTCGTGCTGAGCAGCTCCACCATCTACATCCTGAACAAATACGTCATTAAGGACAAGTTAGGCAGGCAGTACAACGCTGGTTTCACACAGTTCGCTGTTTCCAGCCTGCTGTATCCGCTGCAGGTGGTCTCCACCTGCTCGGCGGTAAGTGGTTCGCGCCTGATGGCCGGCCAACCGCCTATTATGCCGGCCTACAAGAACTGGGTGGACTGTTGGAACGATTTGCAGGTTCGCGGTGAGCTCAAGCGCGGAAGCTCTCTTTTCTGGCGGTGAGTGTTGGCTCGATCTGAAGGATTTCGTTACTAAGTACGCCTCAAACTCGTCCTTTCAGGTCCCAAGCCATCAGCTCTCCGGTTATAACTACCTCATTTGCGCCTCTGCCCAAGCTGGCGCGTTATCAGTAGGCGCCGAGGCCACGACTGGACGACCCCGAACTGGCCATGGCCCTGGAGTCCACACTTCAACTCCCTAGCTGCGTTTGCCCTGCATTTCAATGGTGCTTCGACGACGACGAGCTCCATCCCAAGATAACTGCATTTGTTCTTCTGTCTCTACAAACCCAGCCACAATTCCGTTAATACAAGTTTACATCTAAGTGTTGAAGTGTCTGCATTCCCTTTGTGGTCGCTTGGTCCTACGCAAGTTTTAATTTTCTTTCAGCGTCTTACTAGCACTGAATTCTTTTGCGATGAAGTGGTTGAGCTAAAGCTTTTGCCCAATCCTGCGGAGTCTGCGGCATGATTCTTGTTACTGTTTACTGCAACATCCTGAAAATAAATCGTTTTGCCCTACAAGTGGAATTAAGATTTGTCTTATTTTTTTTCTTAATTGAACTGAAAAATTTGATTGTTTAAGTACCGTAAATAAATCTTCGATATTCTTAACATATGTTGTTTCTTTACTAGGAAAATAGTTATTTTATCTGATTTAAACAATAAAGACTGGATTGTAATTTAGGAAACCCAAAATATTTACTTTTTTGCTTATGTACACAAAAAAAAACGAATATTTAAAAACATTGACGAAAATCGGCAAAACAATTAATGTGGACCTTAAGCTTAGCTAACAATAAAACGTTGATCACGACAAAAAGTTAATAAAGTAATGGAATTGAATCAGTTTATGTATAATTTCTGCTATATTTTCGTATTTATGGTAGAACTTAGCTGTACTAAGATGGTTGATTGATTTTTACACGATTTTTACAGCTATTAATAGACCAAATAAATATTTAACATACGGTCTTAAAAATACAAAAAATAGTACTTAAAATATTTTACAAATTTTCTGAATTTAATTGGCTATTACTTTTTTCTTTAATCCTGCATCCCAAGAGCCATAGAGATGATTTTCCTTACCATTTCATGTTCAAAAGTATAATTCGCTATTTTACCGGGCAACAATTATTCATTAGCCATTGTCATTTCAGTAAGTAATACTTAATTCTTCTTGTTAAGTGTGATGCTCTTCAGAAGATTTTTCTCATGGGCCTGTCATTAAAGGTTCACTGGTAATGTTAAGAGGTTTATGCCTACGTAACACTATACCAACTATAGACGCTAGTCTCTTACCATAATCCTACGTTGCTTATTTCCTTTCTTGGTGTATGTAATCACCATAATTTTCGTTTATTTACATTTATTACTACAACTCCTATATTGCCGAGTAAACCTATTTGCACGTGGGACTAATTCTCATTTATAATTGGTCTGCGAGCCGTAATGACTATAAACAACATTGCGAGCGAACATCTTTTGCACAATAACAAATGGAATTTTCACTTATTACTTTTGTTCAGAGCAGGGAGCATGCCTAGAATCTCCCGACTAGGCAGAATTCCTCGAGTTCCCATCAATACGAAGATTCATTTCTACTCCTTTAGCTTTTGTAGTAATTGACAAGTGGGTTTGGCATCGCGTGCA